CCTGTCATTCACCCAACTTGGAAATCGGCTTTTATAGTTCCTTTTGCTGTACGAGATGAAACTTCTACAGGAGTTCTTACATAAGCGAAAGGGATTCGTCATTTAACATTTATTTGCAAGAACATAGTCGCTGTAGAAATCCTCTGGTCGATCCATGAACGCAACGTGGTCCAGCTGCGACTTTAGGTCCTATTGAAAACGGGTATGGATCTACCGCCAAGAACGCAGTTTGAAATAAAAAATAGACTCCCCGTTCTGTTCACAAGGTTATCGCTACCAGCAAACACATTGAACAAAGACTTTGTTTGATCATTCATCAAAGTAGTGAAGTCCATAATCTCACAACAGAAGAGTGACTGTTGTGAAGCTGCAGCGAGAACAGTTATGACCCGTTCTGTATTCTCATTCATTTACGTCGCTAGATAAAAATCATAGAAAATTATAGAAAAAAAGGTAAGATTTGTTTAAAAAATTTGAAAATAACCGATTTTCTCTGATTTGACCAATTCTCTCTTCCTTTTTTACATGATATTGATGGTGGGGACGCTGAGATATATTTCTCTTATCAGCTAGGAGTGCTTTATTTTTAAAAACAGAATCGACAGCAGCCATGTGACATGTATTCCCTGAGACTTCGAAAGTTCACTTTATGAACTATAGTATGTATTCTCCTGTTTTTTTTCATTCATTTCACAGAGTGATCCACTTATGAACCTCAGAAGAAATATGAGTCACCTCAATCTCTCATTTTGACTCTGACGCTCATCCAACTGAGTAAGCCCGGTTTGAAACAACGTGTGATACATTCCTTAGTTAAGAGAATTCATAGTAACTACAAAGATTGCCTGCCTCTGGAATCGAACTGATCCTCTCCCTCCCGAGAGTTCGAGATTGAAGTCGATTTCCTACGCACTGTGCAATCGCGCCAGAAATAAGAATTATCTATGGTCACCCTCTACATTGCGAGCCGAATGGATATGCCGTAGATGGCCTTCTCCGGCGAAGTGAAAGGGTATGATCCTTTCTCGATCAAGAGCTCACCAAGCGCCTCTCTTATGGACCTCAATTGGCTTGTTCAAGGAGGTGTGGGAAGAATACTGTGTTTCACCAAGGCTAAAACCCTAATCAGTTGCATATGAAATTTGCCAAAAACACGAAACGCGATGAAGAACAGCGAATCCGTAGATACAGGTCACCTTGTCGGCTTGCAAAAGAACTGAAATTACTGACGACCCGGTGATGGTCAGAACGGTCAAAGACATCATCAAAATCTTCGTGGCTTGCCACAACGCTAGAACCCTGTCGTAAGACGGGCTCGTTGACATATACATCACCGATTCCAAGAAGATCAAAGCAGATGTTCTCGGCATGTGAGAAACTTGAAGATCTGCCAAATTTATTGAGATGGTCGAAGTTACCTTGTGACAGCTTAACCAAACCGGCCTTAGGCAGGTGATATATGATTCATCGCCAATAAGAAGGCTCTCTTGTTCCCAGTCAGTTGCGATCTCATGCCACGTCATGTCGCTGTACTAATTCTGCAGATTCGTAAGAAAATATCACAAAAGATAATCGAAGTTTACGGTCAACGCTGCAAGTGGACGACGAAGAAATAGAACGGTAGCTCTAAAGGACGAATTTCGTTTAGCTGTAGCATGAAAACGATCTGCACGACGTTATATAGCAACCACTACTCCTATGGAGGTACAAATGGACCAGAAGTTATTTCTTGGTGCCAGAAAAGCGTAATGTTGATAAATAAAAATATCAAGAATGGAATCGTTTCCTGGCAGGAACAGCATAAAACCGGAGCATCTCAAGTCACCGGGAATGATCTTGTTTAAAGCCCTTGCCGAATGAATTACTGAACACATCAGCCTAAAATACCCTAGCTGCTTGGAAAAGATCTTCCACGATTCTTTCATTGACGAATGGTAATGAGTTCTTTCGAACCATCAATCCATTTTTCTGTACTCATAAGTGTACAAGATATTTACTTGCACCATCCTCAGACGAAACTGGAATGACCTAAAACTGGTGAGGATTAGGCCAGTTTCCGAACAGGGTTCTGTACCACGGACCACACCCACATCGTGCAATAGTTAACAAAGAGGAATACTGATTTCTCATTTGCTAATCAATCATCGACTTCAGTAGAGTATTCGATTCCATCTAGCAGAGCGCGATACCGAACTTCTTGCATAACGGCCGTATCATTCTTATCTACGTATATCTGCTTGAGGAACCGGATACTGACACCTCAGCCGACACCAACATTTAAAGAGGAATATGCAAAGGAAACACTAGTCATTCGCTTTTCGCGACCGCTCTGGAATCCTTCTTTAGCCCTCTAGATTTGGGACGCGATATTAATGTGGACGGAGAACAGCTCACCGATCTGCACTTTGCATTCGACATCATCGTCTTCGCCAAATATCCAGCGTAACACCAGTCCAGATTGCGCAGTTGGAGAAGCAGTCACTCGAAACCAGTCCGGAGTTGAACATTTCTAAAGCGAGATGGAAGTCAAGGAGTCCTGGCGAACGGGAGCCCTTTTCAATGACGGCTAAGAAATGAGGAAAGTTGGTATCTACATATACCTCAGCCATCTAATAACCGCCGTAGTGCCAACAGTGAAATCAGCAGAAGAAGGAAGGCGGCATCCATATGTTTCCATCGCATCAAAACACTGCTACTGAATAACACTCGGCCTAGACTACAACGAAGGAACTGTATGACTTATCATCACACCCGTCATTATTTATGGCGCTGAGTGCTGATCTACAACTAAAGCTGATGGTACGAAACTAACGATGGAAACAAAAAATATTCAATTTCTCTATTTCAGACCATCCAGTGGAAGTACTCACTGCTGCCTACCACAGGGAGGGACAACGGGCTGTTCATGTTGCTTGTCTGAAGGACAACATGTGGACATTTCTGAGTTACAAACTGGATCTCCCTCAGCAGCAGAAGTCCATTCGGTCGTCGATCAGCACGTTTGGACGGTCCAACGAGGAGGCTGTTGGTCAACGGTGGAAGCAACGGACAAAACACCGATAAGAGAGACAGAATGTCAACTTTGGAATATTGTGCGGCCGCTTTTGAAAACATGTCGGATTGAAGGATGCAATATGCATGCACCTGGTTTCAATGAATGTAACGAATCTGAGGTGTGTCATCTTGTGTTGAAAGGCAATGGTACAAATTTTGCCATCACTAAAGTCAGATTAAAGCAGTGATATCACGATGGTATTTGTGGGTTTGATGAAGGGTATACAAAGCACTAACAGAAATGATCGCAAGACGCAATGCAATTCATTTTCACATATCAGGTCTTATGGAAGCCGCATTAAAGGTAGATGCATTTCCTTGGTCTCAGCGATCAGCTTCAAAACAGAAGAGCGCATAAACGAAACAAAACATATTTATGAAGTAGAGGTAAAGCGGAAAAGGCCCAGTATAAGTTCTGGAAGTGAACAACAAATTCGAGTGATCGCCTTGAACCTGTTTCCTGTCGATTTTCAACCTACGCATTTCGCAGGATTGTTTCAACATTCACAGATACGTTGCAAATGATGAATTCCAGTCCCTGATGAAAACTTGCTGCAGCTGGCGAACGACAGACAAGTCATGTTTGATATCATTTTCTTCTTGTTGGATAACTGAACCGATACCAGCGGTGTCGATAAAGTAATCGCCGACCCAATTAGAAGTTCCTGCAACAAAAGGCTCGAAAATACAGGAAGAAAGACATTTTGTTATACCAATATACGCTGTTTCTTCTGTGACCATGTACTTATTATGATTTACTCTGGAATTTGGTATTCGACCTTGTCGTTCATTGTAAACAGGCACGTAAAATAGTTTCTGAAAGATGGGCGGAAGTTGTAAACAATTTTTTAAAGTATGACTTACGATCTCCAGAGAACCCCTCTCTAGAGATGCAGCAAATGTTGACAGAGACCGAAGAAAAGCAAACATCTGCTCGTGACTGTGGTTCCAGTGGCTGATGATCAGCTTTACTGCAACTCCATTTTCATACGCAGCCGATCGCAAGGCATCGTCAATCATGGGCCAATATCTGCAATCGATCTTTACTAAACTAACATAGATGCATTCGCTCAACATTACTCAGCCATACTTTGACGCAGAGGAGGAAAGTGTTATTGGAATATAGTTCATCACTGCGACATATATGAACTTCTTTGCAGTAGCGATGATTTTCAAAATTGTAGACAGATCGTCATCGCGTCCTCGGCTGCAAAACGTACTAGGGGAGATCTGAAAAAACAGTTGTTCTCCATGCTGTCAGTTTTACTGAGATTCATTTAGAGTAAGCAAAAGAATTTCTGGTTTTGAATAATTATTTTAAAAGAAATTAGTCTGCAAGAGGTTGAAGTTATGCAGCATTATCCTCGCTGCGGTTTTCCTTCCTGACTACTTCTTCACGTCACATGTCTGAGAGGATCGTTAATTGATTCGAAACCGCATCTTTCGGTTTCTCTCAATTGGGCGAATGACCCCCTGAACTGTTCAGAAATCGCTGAAAACCTCATTTGATTAGAAAACCTTCTGTCCCAGCTTCGTTCCTCTATTCTACGACTTTGTATAACTGAGTCGTACAAAGCAATAAAATTTCTCTTCAGCGAAAATTCACACTAAGCTGTTTCTATATAATCATCCTAGCAACGTTAGCAAGTTGGAGAACTGCATTCAAGCGTTTTAAATTTCATGTTTCGATATAGTCATATTAGACCTTCCTAGACTTAGGGCGTAAAGCTACTTAATGCAAGTGCTTCACAGATGCACCCGCCTTTGTCCACCAGATATCAGACCAAACATTAGGATCTATATAAAAAACAAACGAGTAAATAGTGATACAACTTCCAACCATCCTCTTCATTACAGTACTGTGTCGTGTGCTGCAATGCGCTATTTAATGCTTTGAGATCGTTGCATGCGAATCTGCATAGCATTTGATTTTTCGATTGAATCTGCTTTTACGTTTTTGCTATAATCCTTTGGCTGTTCTTCAGTATGCACATTCTTACCTTAACGCCGTAGCGTTTAGCACTCTTCAAAAGACAAGAGCAGCAGTCCTCACTACTGTCAGCTGCAATTTTGTTTTCATACCTAACTCATCTTACAAATTAGCCAGATAGATCATAATTGCCAAGCAGCACAGTACCATTCATTTTTAACAGCAATTTTCTGCAAACACTAATTACTTCTATCACAATCGATGACCAGCATCGATTCATACAAGAATGTTCGATGTGCAGATGCAACATAAATGGATGCTAGACGTGTCACATTTCCTGTTGGAGGCTTTCCATGACATCAGATCAAAACGGCAATGGATTTTGGACCATAGCCACAGCTCTCTGAGTCGCCATGCAGAACCATACAAACCTTACAGAAATAGTATCTAATCCTTATTAAATCTCGTTTAATACATATTGTTTGATAACTTAAAACGACGGTCAGTTTGTTTCTTGTTGTTCCGAAATGCATTCTTGTGCCTTGACTTGCTCGAAAAGACCTAGTGGTTTAAAAAATAATAGCTTCTTGTTATTTCCCTTCATTGTTTACATTCCTATCTGCAGAATAAAGCGGAAAATTCTTTATTTACCATTGAGCTGCTTGATTGTTTGATCGCATCGATCATTGCAAAATTGCTTTGCATCTACACAAAATTAAACTGTCATTCTGAATGAATTTATTGCCACATTTACTGACATCCTATTGCACTTGCATATGGTACGTAGTACACCGAATTTCAGCTCATTTGTAATGTCCTCTCTTCCACTAGCCCTGACTCGTTTATCCCTTAAAGTGCCGAGCTGCTGCTGTCAGCGCATATTTCATCTCCATCTTCCATCGTCGATTCTCCTTTCAGCACGCGGAGGCAAGCCAAAGAGAGAGTTT